CAACCTGTTCCGACTGTCGTGCTTGAGGTTGACCCGAATTTCCCTCTCTGTCCTAAGGCTTCTCCCTCCCTCCCTCCCTCCCTCTTCATCTCCATCTCTCTTTCCCTTTCCCTCTCTCGCCCTCCCCCCGCCCCCCCCCCCCCAACCTCAACCTGCCTACCTCCCTGCCTCCCTGCCTGCCTCTCTCCTACTTCACGTCTGAGCTGTCTGCAGGTATGTCGCCACAGCCTGGCACAGTCCCTATGCAACTCCGACGACAACCTTGTTGGGCTGCGAGCAAGCACTTCCATTGACGACAACGGCAACTTGTTCGTGGACGCACTAGGGCTGCAGGAGCAAGTGAACTACTGGATGACGGTGGAGCTCTTTCACCACGGCAAGGTGAGACAAAGGAGAGCAGTCTTCTTCTGACATCTTCTTCTGACGTCTTTCTTCTGACGCTTCCCTAGGACAATTTAACGAGCAGTCAGCACTTGGTCAACAAGAGCTCGCCGATCGTCAAGGTTGCTAACATCCAAGAGACAGGCGAGGCTTAGACGGCACATGTTCGATCTTAGCTTTGGCTTCAGGTGCTTACTCTCTGAGCGCCTTTCTCCACGACTCGTGCTCCCCCGCCCGCAACGAGTTCTTGTCCAAGTTCACGAGGCACTACGACATCACGAGGGTGGGTCCTTGTCCTCCAGCTCCTCAGACGCGATTCTTCCTCGAGCAGCGGCTGGTGTACTGGAATAACAACGACAACAAACTGATAATCGACATGAGAGACATCTCGTCTCTGTTCGACTACTTCATATCAGTTGTGTTTCGCGATCATGCCAATCAAGTGGCTCTGTCACTTTCTCAGGAACAGACTTGGACTGAGGACCTCAGCTACATGCGGTTTGAAATTCAGTTCGAGCTCAAGCACGTGGGAGACTATCAGGTCGAGAGCTTCTTGACAGTCATCTGCAAGCACGACAGATCTGTCATCTATGAGGTGTCCAACACCACCGCCTGGCTCACTGTGCTTGAGATGCCTCCCGGTCAGCGACTGCCTCAAGTCTACCTCCTTTCGGTTCCCAAGAGCGGCAATACGTGGCTGCGATACATCTTGGAGAACATTACAGAGTCGCCATCAGTCGGAGACAGGCCGGTGCTCGCAGCGTCAGGGATCAAAGACCCTTACAAGTATCCAGCCTTCCTGGTGAAGAAGCACAGGATCGACCTCTCTCAGGTCGTTGCAGGAGAAAAAGTCATCCTCATCATCCGAAATCCCATCGAATCTGTTCTGAGGCACATTCGTCACTTCTCTTACAACGCCATGGGACTAAGCGAGGTGATTGAAAATATCATAATCAACTGGAAGGCTTACCAAGACTTTCCTGGGCCAAAGTTGTTAATCAAGTATGAAGAGCTGATAGAGAAAAGTTCTTCATCGTGTCAAAATCTTCTTGGCAGAATATTTGACTTCATCGATAACGGGGACTATTCGACCAGAATACAACAGTTCTGTGACGAGCTCGGAATTCACAAGGAGAAGTCCCGAAGACATTACACGAAGGTACTAGGCCTCATCATCCACAACATCAGCGACGGGCTTCATCATGAACGAGTGCTGCGGGAGAAAGATCCAGCGCTGCTTCAAGTGGCTTTAGAAGAGGTAGAGGAGCAACCGATCCTCAAGGAAATCTACACCTTACACTACCTTCAGAAATAAACATGGCCATGTTGAAACCAAAGCTCAACTAACTTGGCTGAGTGAGTGAGCGCTAGGATAACTTCCATCAACAACGCATGCGATACTCGCATATTTGTATTACGTTAGAGCACAAACTTTAATCAAACTCTGCCAGCCTCCTTTAACGCGGTTCTGTGTAATCGAGGTTCCCTTTTGTCACATCTGTGCTAGTCCTTCATGTTTTATCTCGCATCGAAAGTATTCTGCCTTAGCTACGATTTCAGCACAGACTGCAATAGGCTTCTGCTATTCCACTTTCATCTCAACACCATCTTACTCTCAAAAATTCTATTAACTGTCAGATTCACTTGGCAACAATTATGTTTGGTTCTTGCTATCAATTGGAGTATCGACACTCTTCTGCCACTCTTCTCTGCTATTGAGTTTCCCCCTTCTCCCTCGTTTCTTCTAAAATGCCTCCTCCCCTTTACTTCTTCTGTTGGTCCCTCACCCTCCCCTTTACTTCTTCTGTTGGTCCCTCACCCTCCCCTTCACTTCTTCTTCTGTTGGTCCCTCACCCTCCCCTTCACTTCTTCTTCTGGTCCCTCACCCTCCCCTTTACTTCTTCTTCTGTTGGTCCCTCACCCTCCCCTTCACTTCTTCTGTTGGTCCCTCGCTCTCCCCTTCACTTCTTCTGTTGGTCCCTCACCCTCCCCTTCACTTCTTCTTCTGTTGGTCCCTCGCTCTCCCCTTCACTTCTTCTTCTGTTGGTCCCTCACCCTCCCCTTCACTTCTTCTTCTGTTGGTCCCTCGCTCTCCCCTTCACTTCTTCTTCTACGCATAAGAGCTAGTCTTCTGACTCTTCTCTTTCCCAACTTTCTGTGTACACCCTTCTTCGTGCTTTGCGCCTCCCCTCTGTTTGTCATGGAATATGCGTTGGA